TCTCTCTTTTGTCTTTTTTCTTTACCTCCCTTCCTCCCTCTCTCTCTTCTCCTTCTTCCTTCCCCATCCTCCTCTCCCTCCATACGCTCTCCCTCCTCGCTCCTTTTTTCTTTTACTACTTCCTCTCTCCTTCCCTCCCTCTTCCCTCCTCTCTCCATCACTTCCTTCCTTCCCATCTACCTCCCTCTCTCCCTCCTTCTCTCCCTCTCTCTCTTTCCCTCCATCTCTTTCTTACTCCCTTCCTCCCTCTCTCCAGCCCTCCATCGTTTCCCATCTCTCTTTATCTATCTATTTAATTTGAAAAAAATTTTTTTTCCTTATTCTATCTATCTATCAATTGCATTCTCTCCCTTCCTCTCTCTGCTTTCCTTGCTCTTTCTTTCTCTCTCTCTCTCTCTCTCTCTCTAAACTCCCCCCCCTCCTCTCTCGCGCTCACCTCACTCTCTCACACTCACCCCCTTCTAACACTCACCTGAAGTCCCCTCTTCTCACCCCCCCCCCACCACACCACACACACACTCTTCTCTCATTACCCCCTCTCTCTCACTCCACCCACTCTTTTTTTCTCTCTCTCTCACTTCTCTCTCTCTCTCTCTCTCTCTCTCTCTCTCTCTCTCTCTCTCTCTCTCATCTCTTCTCTCTCTCTTCTCTCTCCCTTTCTCTCGTCTTCTGTGTTACTCTCTCTCACACACACACACACATCCCCATTCTCTCTCTCTCCCACACTCACCCCCCTCTCTCTCTCTCACTCCTCTCTCACACTCACCCTCTCTCTCTCCTTTCACCCCGCTTTCTCTCACTCCCCTCTCTCACACTCACCCTCTTCTCTCTCTCTTACCCCCCCTTCTCCCACTCCCCCCCTCTCACTTACCCCATCTCTCACACTCACTCCCTCTCTCTCTCACCCTCCCCCTCTCTCACTCCCCCTCTTTCTCTCACTAACTCACCCCGGTTCTCTCTCTATGTGACATCACAGGAGAATCGTGAGAATGGCGAGCAGCGCTTTGTGAGCTTCTACGCGGCGGCATTCTGGGACTTCCTGCTCGGCAATGTGCTTGCGACCCTTGTCGTTCTCGTGCTGCTTAAGCTGTGGAAGATGCTCTCCTTCAACAAGAACATGTCCATGTTCCCACAAACCCTCAAGGTAAGTCCATGTCCGTTATATATTGTCAAGGCAAGGCCATATCCATCATATATTGTCAAGGTAAGGGCATATCTGTCATATATTGTCAAGGTAAGGGCATGTTCGTCACATACCGTCAAGGTAAGGGCATGTCTGTCACATACCGACAAGGTAAGGGCATGTCTGTCACATACCAACAAGGTAAGGGCATGTCTGTCACATACCGTCAAGGTAAGGGCATGTCTGTCACATACAGTAAAGGTAGGAGCATTATTACCGCCCGTGTCACAACCATCAAGGTAAGGGCATGTCCGTCACATACCGACAAGGTAAGGGCATGTCCGTCACATACCGTAAAGGTAGGAGCATCTCTGTCATATATTGTCAAGGTAAGAGCATGTCCATCGTATATTGTCAAGGTAAGAGTATGTTCGTCATATATTTTCAAGGTAAGGGCATGTCTGTCACATGCCGTAATATAAAGTATGAGCATCTCTGTCATATATGTCAAGGTAAGGGCGGGTCCGTCATATATTGTCAAGGTAGGAGCATCTCTGTTCATATATTGGTGTCAAGGTTAAGGGGCATGTTCGTTATATATTGTCAAGGGTAAGAGTATGTCCGTCATATATTGTCAAGGTAGGGCATGTCTGTCACAAACCGTCAAGGTAAGGGCATGTCCGTCACAAACTGTCAAGGTAAGGGCATGTTCGTTATATATTGTCAAGGTAGGAGTATGTCTGTCATATATTGTCAAGGTAAGGGCATGTCCGTCATATATTGTCAAGGTAAGGGGGCACGTTCGTCATAATATATTGTCAAGGTAAGGGAATGTCTGTCGCATACCTTCAAGTATGGCATGTACGTCACATACCATTAGGGGAGAGTATGTCTGCCACATACCTTCAAGGTAATAGCATATCCGTCCCATACCTTCAAGGTAATAGCATATTCGTCACATACCTTCAAGGGTAATCGCATATCCATCACATACCTTCAGGTAATAGCATATCCGTCACATACCTTCATGGTAATAGCATATCCGTCACACCTTCAAGGTAATAGCATATACGTCACATACCGTCAATGTAACGGAATGTCTGTTACATACCGTCAAGGTAAGAACATGTCTGTCACGTATCAGCAAGGTATGTTGCTGCCTGCCTTTGTCTCCATGTAACGTACTTACTGCTTACAGCTGTCGTCCAGCCCGCTGTTTGTCTCTGTATAAACGTTTACTTACAAGCTGGTTCGTCCGCGCGCCGCGTGTTGCCGCGGCGCGTGTAACTGTCGCTTAAACTGCTTACAGCTGTCGTCCGATCCCGCTGTTTTGGTCTGCATGCTATAACGTACTTACAGCTGTCGTTCCGGTGGCTCTTGCTTGCTTGCCTTCGTCGTAACGTGCTTACAGCTTAGACAAAGCTTCTCGTCCGCCGGCTTGGCTGTGCCTTCGTGGTTACTGTGCTTATGCTTACAGCTAGTCGTTCCAGCCTGGCTGGCTTTGTCTTCGTCTCCATGTTAAACGTGTCTTACTTGTCTTACAGCTGTCGTCCGGCCCGCTGCTTGTCTCACAGTGTAACCGTACTTTACTGCTTACAGCTGTTCGTCGGGCCTGCTGGCTTGCCTCCGTGTAACGTGTTATGCTTAACAGCTTGTCGTCCAGCTCGCTGGTTTGTCTCCATGTATTAACTTACTTACAAGCTGTCGTCCGGTCTGCTGCTTGCTTCATCTAACGTGCTTACAGCTGTACAGCTGTCGTTCTCGGCCTGCTGCTTTGGTTCTTCTGTGTAACGGTGCTTACTGGCTTACAGCCTCTTCGTCCGGCCCTGGCTTTGCCTTCCAATGGTACACGTGTTACTGCTTTACAGCTCTGTCGTCCGGCCGCTGGCGTTGTCTCAGGTGTAACGTACTTAACTGCTTACAGCTTGTTCGTGTTCGGCCCGCTGCTTGTCTCTGTGTAACGTCTTTACTGGCTTACAGCTGTCGTCCGGCCGCTGCTTGTCTCTGGTGTGAACGTGCTTACTGCTTTTACCAGCCTGTCGTCCGGCCGCTGCTTGGCCTCCATTGTAACGTCTGTACTGCTTACGTGTTCGTCCGGGCCGCTGCTTGTCGTCCGTGTGAAACGTGCTACTGCTTACAGCTGTCGTCTCGGCCCGGCTGCGCTTGTCTCTGTGTATCGTGCTTATTGCTTACCAGCTGTCGGTTGCCGGCCCGCTGTTGTGCTTCTCTGTCGTAACTGTGCTTACTTGCTTACAAACTTGTCGTCCGGGCCCGCTGCTTTGCTTCGTTGTTCAAAGCGTGCTTATTGGGCTGTACACGCTGTCGGTCCTGGCCCGTCTGCTTGTTCGTTGCTGTAAGTGTGCTTACTGCTTACAGCTGTCGTCCGGCCGCTGCTTGCCTCCAGTGTCAACGTGCTTACTGCTTACAGCTGTTCATCCGGGCCCGCTGCTTGTCTCTGTGTAACGTTGCTTACTGCTTACAGCTGTCGTCCGGGCCCGCTGCTTGGCCTTCGTGTAAACATGCTTACTGGCTTACAGCTGTCGTCCGGCCCGCTGCTTGTCTCTGTGTAAACGTGCTTTTACTTGCGTTACAGCTGTCGTCCGGGGCCGCTGCTTGTCTCGCATTAACGTGGCGTTACTTGCTTACAGCTGTCGTCGCCACGCCGTCTGCTTGTCTCCGTGTAACGTGCTTACTGCTATACAGCTGTCGGTCCGGCTTGTGCTTTGCTCTCCATGGTAACGTGCTTACTGCTTTACAGTGTCGTCCGGCCCGCTGGTTGGTCTCCGGTGTAAGCGTTTGCTTACTGTTACAGGGCTGTCGTTCGGGGCCCGCTGTCTTGCCTCATTGATCAACGTGGGCTTACTGCTTACAGCTGTCGGTCCGGGCGGCTGCTTGTCTCGGTGTTAACGTGCTTACAGCTGTCGTCCGGGCTCCGCTGTTGTTTCTTTCCGTTGTAACAGTGCTATAACTGCTTTGACAGCTGTGCGTCCGGGCCCGCTTGGCTTGCTTCGGTGTAACGTGGCTTTACTGCTTACCAGCTGTCGGCCACTCGGGCCGCTGCCTGTGCCTCCATCGGTTTAAACGATGCTTTACTGCTTCAGCTGATCATCCGGCCCGCTGCTTGTCTCTGGTGTAACGTGGCTTTACTGCTTACAGCTGCTCGTCGGCCTGCTTGCTTGCCTCCAATATAAACGTTGCTTACTGCTTTACAGCTGTCGGTCCGGGCCCGCTGCTTGTCTCCGTGCGTGTAAACGTTTGTTACTGCTTCCAGGCTGTCGTCGCGGGGCCCGCTGCTTGCCTCCTTATGTAACGTGCTTAACTGCTTACAGCTGTTCAATCTCGGCCCGGCTGCTTGTCGGCTGGGTAACGTGCTTACTGCTTACAGCTGTCGTCCGGCCCGCTGCTTGTCTCCATGTAACGTGCTTACTGGGGCTTACAGCTCTTGGTCATCCGGCCGCTGGCTTGGTCTCTGGTGTAACGTGCTTACTTGCTTACAACTGTCGGTCCGGCCCGTTGCTTGTCTCTGTGTAAACCGTGCTTACTTGCTTTACAGCTGTTTCGGCCGCTCGCTTTGTCTCTATGTGTAACGTGCTTACGTGCTTACAGCTGTTGCGGGTTCCGTGCCGCTGCTTTGTCTCATGGCTAAACGTGCTTCACTGCTTAACAGCTGTGCCAGTCCCGTGCCGCTCGGTCCGGGCCGCTGCTTGCCTTTTCGTTCGTAACGTCTGGGACTGGGTTAAGAGTGCGTGCGTCCGGCGCCGCTGCTCTGTCTCTGCTGTCCACTGGGTTCGTCTTTACTAGCTTCAGCTGTCATTCCGGCTTGCTGCTTTGCTCCGTGTAAGCGTTGCGTTACTGCTTTACAAAGCTGTCGTCCGGCCCGCTGTTATGTCTCTGTGTAACCGTTGCTTACTGCTTTACAGCTGTTTCGTTCCGGGGCCCGTTTGCTTGTTCTCTGGTAACGTGCTTACTGCTGGTACCAGGCTGGTTCCGTCCGTCGCTATTGCTTGTCTCTGTGTAACGATGCTACTTTGCTTTACAGCTGTCGTCCGGCTCTCCGCTGCTTGCCTCCATTTGTAACGTGGCTCTACTTGCTTACAAGCTGTCGTCCTCGGCCGCGTGTTGTCTACGCTCATTCTGTAACGTGCCTTTACTGGCTTTTACAGGCTGTTCGTGCGGCCTTAGCTGCTTGCCTCCATCGTATAACGTGCTTACTGCTTTACAGCTGTCGTTCGGCCGCTGGCTTGTTCCATGTAACGTGCCTTACGTACAGGTGGGGCTGTACAGGCTGTCGGTCGGGCTGGCGTGCTTGCCTCCGGATCTGGATTTATTATAAACTGCGGGCCTGGCTTTACCTGTCTTACATATAGCCTGTTCGTCCGGTGCTCCGCACTGCCTGTCGTCCGTTGTAACGTTTGCCTTACTGCTTGACAAGCTGTCGTGTCCCGGCCGCCTTGTCTTTGGGCTCTCGCTGTAACGTGCTTATGGTTACAGCTGTCGTTCGCGGCCCGCTGCTTGCCTTCGGTGTAGAGCGGTGTCTTTACTGCTTTAGCAGGCTTGTCGTCCGGGCGCTGCTTTGCCTTCGGTCACGTGCTTACTTGCTTTACGCTTGTCGTCCGCTGCTGCTGTGCCTTCGTGTAAACGTGCTTGACTGCTTACAGCTGTCGTCGGGCCCGCTGCTTGTTTTATGTAACGTTTGCTTAACTGCTTTACAGGCTGTCGTCCGGGCCGCTCTGCTTGTCTCTGGCTGTAACGGGCTTACTGCTTACAGCTGCTTCGGTCCCGGCCCGCTGCTTGATCTCTGCGTGTAACGTGCTTACTTGGTTACAAAAGCTGTTGTTCCGCGCCGCTTGTTGGTCTCCGTGTAACCGTACTTACGCTTACAAGCTGTCCGTCCGGGCCGCTGCTTGCCTTCGATGTAACGGCTTACTGCTTACAGCTGTCGGTCCGGGCCCGGCTGGCTGCTCCGGTACGTACTTACAGCTTTACAGCTGTCGGTCCGGCCGCTTGCTTGCCTTCGTGTAACGTGCTTATTGTCTACAGCTGTCGGTCGGCCCGCTGGGCTTGTCTCGTGTAACGTACTTTACTGGCTTACAGGCTGCTTCGCTCCCGGGCCCGCCTGCTCTGCCTTCTGTGTGTTAACGTGCTTACTGCTTACAGCTGGTCGTCCGGCCCGCTGGCTGTGTCTCCGTGTAGACGTACTTACTGGCTCTAAGTCCTGTCGTCCGGGCGCCGGCGTTCTCTCCTTCGTGTAACGCTTGCCTGCTCATCTTCATGATGGGATTCAGCAGCTTCGCCATGCTCGTCTTCGGCTCGACGATGCCCGACTTCAGCAGCCTCGTCGTCACCATGGAGACGCTGTTCCTGATGATGATGGGAGGCGGCGACTACTACGCGCTCACCGATGCCAACCGCATCCTCGGTCCGCTCTTCTACTTTGTCTTCGTCTACATCGTTATCTTCTACCTGCTGAACATGTTCATGGTGATCATAATGGTCTCCTACGCACAGGTACGCGCAGCGATTCTCACGCCGAGAATTTACAGAACCACTGCAACAGTACTCAAAACTGTACTAAAAACTGCTACTACGAAAGCAAGAACAACAACTAATAAAAGAAAAACAATATCATAAATTACAACAATAACAACAACAACATTAAAAACAAACAACAATAACAATTCTTCTGCTTGGTATCCAAACCTAATAACGGAAACAGTGCACACTATTTACGAACTCATAGTCACCTACGAACAGGTGCACAGATATATATTGCACTTTTCATAACGACTATTAACACGTGTTTATGCCAGAGCTATAATCCACAGTTATCCCATAACTCTTGGATATATGGATAACTTTAGATAATCTCTCCAAAACAACAAGAACTCTAAAACATCCACACAAATAGCTACAACAATAACAAGATCTAATACTACAAAATAACTGCAAAAACAATAGCAACGAAAACAACTCAGATGTTGCATTGACAACAGCACATGCAACTACAACAACAGCAAGTTATGACAATAATCCTTAACTTCTTTAATTATTCAAATTCTTTACTGTATTTATTTAATAAATTGCATACTGTATAATTTTTATATATTATATTGTTATAGATAATTTAGGTGTGTTTTTATATATTATATAATATATATTCCTTTAGGAGTGAATAAAAAGTTAAAGTGAAGAAAAGTGAAGAAAAAGTGAATAAATAACAATTGTTATTATTCCATTCTGATTATATATTATATTAGCAGATGGCATAATCTTCTTCTTCTTCTTCTTTTTCTTCTTCTTCTTCTTTTTCTTTTTCTTCTTCTTCTTCTTCTTCTTCTTCTTCTTCTTTTTCTTCTTCTTCTTCTTTTTCTTTTTCTTCTTCTTCTTATGTTTAATATCATTATATATAGTATTTCATTCATGTAATATTTGTATGATTTTGCGATTATTTATTAACGTGTTTATCGCTCCCTGCTCGCGCATCGCAGGTGTGCAGTTCCCTGCAGGAGGAGAGCAATGAGTATGAGATCCTGGACTACGTCTCAGCGCAGATCCACGCCTGCATGAGCTTCATCTGTCACAACCCGGAAGCCGACCTCGTTCGAGACAACGTAGTCGGCCAGCGTCGCAGCGGCGTCGCGCGTGTCGGCGCTGCCTCGCCCTCCCCGCCGACGCAGGCGCCGCCTAGTGGTAGTGGTTCGCGCCGCAACGTGAGGTGGAAGGAGGAGGTTGCCATGGTGACGGAGTGCGCCGGTAATGGTTCACCCTCCTCCATGGGCAAGCGGCGCGGTCAGAGGAAGACATCGCCGCAACGGGTGGTTGCGCCGACGGTTCCTGACTCCATCCTCCATTGGCTGGAGAAGGGAAGAGAGGACAAGGACGGTTCGCCACGCGGGCATGGCCCTGGTTGTGATCTAAGCGTGGCTGGGGAAGGTTCCCCTCTCGTTCCCACTTCTATTATCAAGTGGTTGGAGAAGAAAACCAAGAAGGAACGGCATCAGCAATGAAGATGGTGATAGTGAAACAATTCCGCATAAAATGGAGAGGAAAATGAAAAATGTGTGCAAAATGCAAAGTTCATTTATTTCGCAGATGGTCCCAACGTGTGTAAATGTACGCAACACTGTCCGTTTTGTAGAGAAATCGACTCAATGACGATTTACAATCATGTAAATCTAAAATACGACAAATGTAATAGCTAAAGTGGAAACATACATCACGTGCTGATCTCTGCCACAACGGTGGTGGTCCGGATTTTCGAATTTCGAATATTTCTAAGATGGCACGCAAGAGACGGCAGTGCAGCAAGTCATTCTCTCTTCACTGCGGTGTCAAATGATGTACGGGAAGGAAAAATTCGGGTCGATGAGGGCATGCGTAAGTGCATGAGCACATCGCTAGCTAACATATGCTCAATTTATTATGTGCTTACCATATGAGGATACCTATAAGAATACCTATATATTCATAGTGATACTGAAGGAGAGAATCAGTCGGCAGTCGTGTTGATAATTAAGCTGCTCAGTAAAATGTGATGGGCAGCACGTCGCTTCTAATGAATGTAAGTGTACGCGGCAATCTTCAGCAAATTGCATGAAGAGTTGCAAGGTACCTTTCATATAAAAAGTATACGGTATTTCGCAGCTTATGTGGCAGTATTCACCCACGAGTTTTTTTACATGGCTCAACCAATCACTGCAATCACAGGTCGAACATTATAATGACTTCTGTGAGCATAGCCGTAACATATTTATACAATATGTACAATATGTACAGTATTGTACCCTATTTCGCCGCTTATAGAACGCAATTTTCTGAAAGATCGAAAGTCTTTTAATTCACATTCTAGTTCGATGTAGCCGGCATTATTTTTAGCTGAAAATAGGTGCTCAGCAGTTTCAGCATATCGTGTGCATATCGTAAATAGTAAGCAGGAAGGTATAATCTCAGAATACTGTTGCGTAATTTTGCATGAGGTCACAAAACGCTTCACTACTATATTTAGCTAAGATGTCTTTACCTGCTGTATGGTATATTGTAAACCTCAGCAGAATAGACGGAGTATATGTCAGACTAAGTGTGTTATAATGCTAATACTGAGAAGGGCTCATGAAAAACTGGGAACATAAACAAGGAAAAAACAAAGGTGCATCCTTATTTATAGTGCGCATGTACCTTGTATTAGAGAGGGCTGTTATTCAGTCAGCCTTTTCTACTTTTCAAATTCTAAATGTAGGGCCGGTGCGTCTATTGTATCTGTTGTGTATTATAAACCGCGAAATACGGTGTATGCTGCCAAACCCGACGCACCAGACGCAGCTAGCCACTCGACTGTTGCTGTGGTGATGTGCCATCAGGAATACGCGTTGCCGCGAAAGGAGTAGCTCGCACCTTTGTGTGAAGTGGCGCTGATAAATTGTAAACGTAAAATCTGTGCTTCGTAGGCGAGATCGGGTATTGTGGGGTGAGCACCCAGGGGCCCGCCGTTGGAAATAGTTATAATTGTCTTCTATCGTGAGTCTAAAATGCCCATAGTCTCACGAATACATAACTGTTTTTGATATTTCTGACACAGGGCTATCTAAAAGCGGGTGTTAGCAGGAAATTCAAGAATGAAAGCTATAGGTAAAGTTAGGGCTTTGCTTCTGCACGCAGTAGCGCGACTGTGTGAGTCAGTAACGAAATGCCCGTGTCTTGTTCTGGCCTAAACTCTCACTTGGCCAAATTATAAACTAAATATAGATTTTAGGTGATAATTTTACGATTATTAGGAAGCCTAAAATTAAAAGCCTACTCGTTGTCAACGCTTGCGTTGGCCGCTTTTTAACCAGCTGAAGTTTAACGTTGATAGTTAAAATCTTTACGGTTGAACAAAGTTTAGTACAATTACTATACTAAATTGTATTTCTTTGACATTTTAAATTGGGTTTCTTAAATTATTGGTTCGCGTTCGTGCATGAGCATTTCGTTAGATTTATATTTTTTATATTTTTGCTATATTTACCCGAGATAATTATGGTATTGGTCTGTACCTGGTTCCGACTGGTGGTCGTTGACATGTGTAGCGCAGAATCATTGATGTATTTCTCCAATAGTTTGAGTATTTCCGTGCGATATGTTATAGCTTTATATAAAGTTATCTAATTCAGCACTATATATATAGCCATATAAGTCCGTACCTTATATATAGCTATATATAATCAGGTGTTTTATATTTAACTATATAATTCATTGCTTTTATACAGCTGTATGGGTTAATGTTATATATATAATATATATATATATAACTATAACTCAGTGCTTTATATAGCTATGTAATACAGTGTGGCTATATATTCATGCCTTCGTACTATCGAACGGGCTAAAACACTGAACTGTGATGGCGGCAAAACGCATTTAATGGAGATTTCTTGTAAATTTGTTTTGAATTTAATAAACCAAGGCTTGCACAATTACCTATGACTATTTGCATTTCGTTTATACTTTTTCATGTTTTTTTTAATGTTTTTGCGTAATTTTACTGATGCACTACGAGTACATTTAATCTTCCTATTACACACGACCAGTTATTTTTCGGATATTTGTTATCCATGTATGCGGTAGATAAAGGTGGGGGGGGGTTCATGTTTGTGTTCCTCAAGGGCGAAGCCCGCTGTAAACAACTTCCCTCTGTGCAAATCTCTATGTCTCACAGATACGTGAGTGATAAATTGTTAGTTATACCGAATGTCCTGTCGTTGAATCTGCTCAGTCGTGTTTATCGTCGAATTTCGTGCATTTTTGGACCTCGTACTTCAAAATATACCTTGCACATACATATTCAACGAATAGGGAAAACCGCGTGTGATCACTTAGATCGCGCTAGGTTTCGTCATAGATATATATACATGGTCTATATATATTTTAGATTAGTTTAGTAATACACACTCAGAATGTAACGTGACAAAACTTATGAAGATAAAGATAATCACTATAGGTGGCTGTATAGAGTAATACCCTCAAATAGTAAGATTTAGTAAATTCGCTCATACGGAATATGCCAGCTCATTTGCGAATTACGACCATTAAATTCGTGCAACTAATGACCCTTAAAACAATGGAATTGCGGAATATCAACCACTATTTCCTTTATTTAATCACAGTGGCTACACGTCCGGTCATCCATTACAAAGCTCAACACAGATTCCCAAATCCACGTCACGATTAGGGCACGCCGCTTTCAAATCGTTGATTTTACTGGATTTACTATTGCTTCGAAAGTTACAAAAACACATTTTTTTGATAAAATACCTAAAGGTAAGTAATATTATGGTAAAAACTTATTGTTTATTGTTTTTTTTACTGAAAAAATATAGTTGGGTTCACATAAGAAATAATATATGACAAGACGCGTAACCGGTAACCATTCGCGTAGCCACGGCCTATTATATATGCCATACTCTGTACCCAAACATATTCGCGAGAATAAATTAGTTCGGATATATCAGTCAGTGAGTTAGTCAGTCAGTCAGTCAGTCAGTCAGTCACGTCCGTGGCTCCTGGGTGGAGCATATAGGCCACTGATGAATCCTCGCCATCTGACTCGGCGTTGGGCGAGTTGTCTGATGGTGTCCCAGCTAGCTAGGTGTGTCCCAGGGTGTCCGGGGAAGGGGCTGTCCGAAAACTACATGGAGGAGGTCGGTCGAAGCCGAAATCAAAGCCGAGGGACACACCTGGAATACCATCAGTTCAGATATATACATATATATCAGGAGTAGATAATAGGGAATCCCTATTCCCTATTATCTACTCCTGATATATATCAATTCTAATAAAGAATATCTATGCTATAGCAAGACGATGCCATATGACAATCTAAATCGTTGATTTATTTATAGATACTACCCCTTGATACTACCCCAAGGGGTAGTATCTATGATTTATTGTTCCGCGCCGAACGAGTTCGTGGGGATACTATGGGTTTGGCATCGTCGCGCCGCCGCCGCCGACGCCGCCCGCAGAAGGCAGAAAGGTGCGACTACTAGGCACTTTAATTGAATTAAATTTTTTTTTTTTAGGGTTAGGGTTTTTTTTTAAGTGCCCCTAGTAGTCATATTAAGTGCCTAGTAGTCATATCAATATCGCCCCAATCTGCCGGGTTGCGCCGCGCGCCGCAGAGATTTCCTTGTGAAACGCTCTACGGCTGCAGTTCTTCTGCGGACCATCTTCAAATTTCGCATGAAGGTGCGTTATCGTAAGCGAAGACGCCTATCGTTTTTGGTGTGGGCGGAGTCATCGTTGCCCATGGTAACAACATTTTTTGTCAAAATATTCTAGAACCTGTAACTTCTTGCACTTTTTACCGATTGTTATGAATTTATAATTTTCTATTAAAATTTATATTTAAATTTATATTAAAATTTGTATTTAAATTTAATATTAAATGTATGATTGTCCATCAATTATATATATATATATATATATATATATATATATATATATATAGGACATGTTTATCGGCCCTGTGTGCCATATTCCATACAATCGGTAAGAAAAAAACAGACCAAGTTACAGGTTCTATTAATATTTTCACAAAATGTTGTTACGCATGACAACGCTGACTCCGCCCACGGCAAAAACTTGCTTTACCATAACGCAGCTTTTATGCCAAATTTGAAGAATGATCCGAGATCGGGTAAAAACTGCCCACCAGATCACTGTGACTTTTATTTCACGCTTTACCTTCACCTTGATCATATTTCTCTTCGCGTCTCTAACTCGAGCCCCTAATTGACCTAGCGCGACCAACTGGGTATGCTTACACATCTTGGGGAGAAGTTTCTCTCGCTACCAAACCACCACTGCCTTGACCTTAGTTTGACGGTTGCACGCGTCGACTTACATTTCCTCTTGGCCTCCTAGGGTAACACCCCGATTCCATATACTTGCACATCTGAGGCACACCAGTTGTCTTAACAAACCTTTGTCTTTGTGACTTATTTAACTTTACCTCCTTCTACGTGCCTTACAGAGGATATTCCATTCATACTAGATCACGGGGGATACATGTAGTTGGCGACAACTGCTCGTTTCTAGTTTAAGGCTGTGACAAGCAGTTTCACCGTCGCTCATATCATGCCCATTTCTTTCTTACCCTCTTTTCTGCTACATTCCCCCTCTTTCTTTCGCTCCCTCTGTCTATAGGGGAGACCGGGGACAATTGTAACACGGGGCAAATGTAACAGAGGCCCGCTCATTCCATAGTAGAAACGTGCTATATGTATACGCTCTTCACAGCGCAATGCCCATTTGCATGCCCCCACATGCTCTCCTGAGGGTAGGCAGGTTTACGCATCGAGAAACATTTGACAGCCAAAACATCGTTTTTTTAGCAGGTAAGTAAAATCTCGAATTACCTAATGTTTTTTTTCTGGACAAATATGTACTTGAGCTATCACTGTCATTTGTATATCATAAAAAATAGGTTTTTAGGCCTGTATTTGGTAAAGGTTTCATTGACGAATACTAATGCTAAGATACAAAAACAGCCCCCAAATTATGGCCGTCTCCTCGGGGGCAAATGTAACAACGTGTTACAATTGCCCCTTGGCATGTATGAAAAGTATGTGTTTTACAAAATGTGTTTTGTTTATAAAGAAAAAAAGTAGCCTATCTATAAGCTCAGACATGGGAACTACATAACTTTGAATTAATGGATCTGTGAATATGTTTTGTTCACAAGGTAATAAGTAGCCTATTTATATATTTTACTCATATGTAAATGAGTCAAGCATTCCTCATAGTTTTGATTAAAATTGTTTTATTGGGGTTCTATAAATTGCTGTTTAATTGTTGAATATCTGTCCAACGTGTCACCTTTATAAAAAATATAAAAAATATTTCCGAGGGATATGATTTGTTGGTACAATTGTGTGTTACAATTGCCCCATTGGTGTGTTACAATTGCCCCATTGGTGTGTTACAATTGCCCCGTGTTGTGGGGCAATTGTAACACTTGACTTCCAGTTTTGAAATGATAACGGCTTCAAAATAACTCGTTTTACTTAACCCAAACCTAGTCATATTTCAAGCCAAGATATGCATCTTTAATTTTAAATTTTAAAAAAGTAAGTATTTAACTATAATAAAGTTGTTATGTCAGATTTGGAAAAAAGTGTTACAATTGTCCCCGGTCTCCCCTACTTTGTAAATGATGACTGTCATCTTCAACTCGGTTCTCCTTCATGACTTGTACTACCATAGTCTTGGCCAAGCTACGTGATCCCTGTCTCCGAGATAATGACTTAATATTTTAACCAGCGGTTAGGGGGACAAAGACGAAAACTATATACGTGCACTGAGACAATAATCATCATCGTTTGGGGCAAAAAATCTACTTTTTCGACGAAGATATAAGAAACACACTGTTATATTCTGCTTCTCTGCTTACACATTTTACATTAAACATTGCTCTTTATCATATGCCATTACGTTTATTCAGATATCTGATATGTGTTCATGGGCACATACTGCTAACAGGTGCACTACGTTCTAAAAAATATTGATGTTCCATTGAAACAGTGTCAGACAACCTTTGTCGCCGAATAATGAAAAGCTATGCTCATACCGAAAAAATATCAAGAACAAGCGTCAACATTTGAAATATGCGTACAGTGACTGGCGACATCTCGAATTCGGATATCGAATTTGGATTACTATCCATCAAAATTGCAATTTACCGAATCCTAGCGTTAGATAAACCCCTTTAGAACATTGCATTTTTCATTACCGTTTAGTTTGCGTACGTGGCTACGCCTCCGGTTACCGGACGCCCAGCTCCCAGGCTACGCGTCCGGTCATTATTCATATATTCATTAGGAATGTTACATTCATGTGAATGTTATATTCATTATATGAATGTTATATTCATATTTATTATATTCATGTGAATGTGAATGTTATATTCATTATGTGAACTCAACTATATTTTTTCAGTAAAAAAAAATAAACAATAAGTTTTACCATAATATTACTTACCTTTAGGTATTTTATCTAAAAAAAATTTTGTTTTTTAGTAAACTTTTCGAAAGTCAAATAGTAAAATCCAAGTAAAATCAAACGATTTGAAAGCGGCGTGGCCTAATCGTGACGTGGATTTGGGAATCTGTGCTGAGCTTTGTAATGGATGACCGGCCGCGTAGCCACTGTGTATATAATAATGAGTCATGATCACGTGTGTAAAGGTACCATTTTACTCACCAAAATGGTAGCATACGAAAAAGCGGGGTTGCTATTGACATTGCACGCCATCTTGACGCGAGGATTAACATTAATAATGTCAGCAGAGATGTGAGAACAGATCTGATACAGCTCTCCTGAACCGTTGACAGTCTCCACACATTAAAACCTATTTCTATGTTTTTTTTTGTCACTGAGAATTGCAAAATCGTTGCCCTTTCTCGCCACTG